CAGTTGTGCGTGTAATTGCATCTTGTTACAAACACCATGAACATCTGTGAAATACGCAAGATAACCAAAGTTTCTTTTTTGGAAAAATAACCTTAGAATAATAGCCTTTATATATATTTTACACCAATATTTAATATTAAGCGGCTAATACTGATGATAGAATTTTACACGTTTATTGCGATTTTCACGAAGTAATATAATATTGTTCGCTTTATTAATACAGGTTTGATAAATACGATACGGTACGATTGTACGAATTACACATTACACTTGCTATGATTGGGAGTATTCATCAGTAGTGGAATATCAAATGTAAATCTATGAAGATGACGGAATTTTGAAAAGAATACATCTGTCGTACACGTGTGCCGTTAGCACAGTTGGATCAAAAAAATAGCTTTAACAGAAGAGAGTACGAGAATGTATGTATTCTGTGTTGATTCGATTACATGTAATCTAATCATACGTACTTTTGATATAACCAACCTAATCGCCTTAGAGGTGCTCCTAGTAAGAATGTTACGAGCTTGATAATGTTCGGTTATCATTGCAAACTTTTTATTTTTTGAGCCTAGCAAGACAACTTGATTTTACACATGATGAAAGCAGCCGACTGAAGTGAGCTGTTATTAGGAAAGTGGTTCAAGTATAGAACGTAAGGTCGGTGACCTCAGCTTAGATTCCTCTAAGCAAAGAGCTAACGGCAGCCCCGCTACACTCGGTAGCACTCGTAGTCAATCTACGCCTGAGTCGTTACGAATTGTAGCACTTGCAGCCAATTCACACCTGAGTCGTTAGACTGATCCTCTATGAAATGAAACAATACTCCTATTTGCCCCAGGGTATGCAGGACGGGCTGAATAAGCAGATTTCTCTTCTAGACACTGAGGGTGCGAAACACATTGTTTTGCAAGGTCCTGTGGCGAGATGCGCGCCTAGAGGCGTTTACAAATCATTAAAGTGCTTCGTTAAAGGACCTACAGCAGAAGGTTCCAGCATCGACTGCGTCCAAGACGCCACCGCCGACGACGATTAATTCCCCCCGACTCAGTCCGCTTGTTGTGAGCGTGTATACCTTCAAGGGTGAATTACCTGCTCTGGATAAAAGAGTCAAAGATGATTATGGCATCTGCCATGCTCTAAATGAGCAACAGCTCGTCGGCAATTGAGCGCGAAAATGTGCTCTAACACGGGGATTTTTGATTGAATTAGCGTTCCCAAGCAGGGGCTGAAGCTATGAGTCATCTTGCCGCTTAATCAGGCATATCATGGTGATCGTATTTTCTTGCTGTCCAACAGAGCTAGAAGTAGTTGGTGGACTTTGTCCAAGTGTTGAGAACACTCATTGCAGAAATGGCAGCAGATCTTCTCCCCAGGCGGTCGCACTGGCCGTCTTTATGGAGGCCTCCAAACTATCGTGACCAGAATGGAAATCTTTCGTGTACATCCGTCTTTTTTGAAGAAGCAGTGAACTCGGCATTACCAAATTTAACTTTAGCTTGACATGGTTGGAATGCACACCGTCAGAGTTCGTCGAGTAGGCCTGGGCTAATGAATTTTAGTTATGCTGAAAAGGATAAGGGAGAGCTCCGAGCTGCTGAGCAGCGTATAGACACCCAGCGTTGTTTTGTTTGTGGAGACATCCTAGCCTTCAGACTAATTGTCCCCTGCGCAAGGCGCGTCAAGGTTAATCGAACCGACATCCATCTTCTTACTATTTTTTGGTGTATTGTGGGGGACAACAACACTCAAATGGCGCGGAATGGCCTACTGGGGGGGAACTGAAATCTGCTGAACCTCAAACAGGTAGAGGGCAGCAGGGCCCAACTTTGAAGCGCTATTTCCTCTTGAATACGGAACGTGTGTGCAAGGCTGGCTTGCTGGTCGTAAAAGCAACCGTGGAGGGCTTCAATAAGTCATAGAAATAGCGTCGAGCAATTATTCTCGACGGTTCACAATCGAAGTAAGTCAGCTGTATGCTGGTTTCTGAAAACGCACTGTCACTGTTCGCTTAGCGACGAGGCCTTGTGTCGCGGTGCCGAGGGTCCCTGTGAACCTCGGTGTCAAGTCTTGACTTCAATAGTGTGGAACGCTGTGTTGTTAGCCTTGGACTTCGATCAAAGGTATGTTTTCAGCCCCGGTATGGCGTACTATTAGTCATGGATCAATTGGAATACGAAGCCGCTGGGCGCTACGCACACGTCTCCTGGTGGAGTTTATGTTAGTCATAACCCACCTCTGCTGGGAAGGAGAAGCGCTATTGGCGCGGACACTGGACCGGGATGGTCAACGTGCTGGAATCGTAATAGCAGAGATGTCAAACACGACAGGTGTTGTGGACAAGAGTCCCGAGCATGTTTCGCGGGCTGATTGTGAAGTGGCACGTAAACCACTGAGCGCTGTTCAAGTATTGAAGCAACTTTCTGCATGCAAAAAGTGGCATCGTCGGCTAAAGGCCGAGGCATCGAAGGCGAGGCCCCAGTGATGGACGTAGAGTAGCACGTGACCACTAAGAACTTCTCATGTTACGAAGCAAATGCTACATGCACGGACGAAGTCCGAGGCATCCTTGACTAGGCCCTTCTGATGCGCGTGAAGTGGCACGTTAACCACTGGACTAAGAGCAGCTCTTCGTCGGATGTCGTTAATAACATCAAGGCTCCGATAGCGCAGGGATTTAAGACACTGGACGATGCCGAGTGCGTGTTTCCACTGGGCTCGATGGGACGTAAAACCGCTATGGTGAGGAGAAGATGTAGCCGTATGTCATCTGCAAGACGCAAGGCGTCGACCCAGACCCAGGGTGTGTCCTCCGTAGACGATAGCAAACAGCTATATACACTTGTCAGCTGTATGACGGAAGAGGAAGACGACGACGTCACCCTCGAGGCTATTTACGCAGTGGATATTCGTTTTGAGCTGGACAAGTTGTCCTTCGAAGAGTCTAGCGGTGCTTTGAAGGCTGGCAATTTAGCCCAGTTGGTCAATATTCAACCGAACGAGGAGATTAACTCGTCGTCGCTTCTGGGTGAAGCTATCCTAGAGTCCACTTTGATGGTGCTGAGTGCAAGAATGATTTTCGGACGCTCTTGGATCGCACATCCAAGTCGGCATATGAGAACCTGCTGACTTGGCACGCATTGGCCAGTTTATTACAGGATGCCATTGGACAGAAAATTAAAACGTAGAGAGACGAACAAAGATGTTGAAATTTGTTATTGGCGATTGAGTCCTTGTCTACACTGCTACATTACCCGAGCAAGCAGTAACTCGCGTCGGCAGTACAAGTTACTTTCGGAATTCATCGGTTATTGCATTGTCTTAGCAATGCGTACGTCCTGAAATTTTCACATATGATACATCTGTTCTAATGGGTTCCTTTTGTCCACAGAATGAGTACTATGAGTTTGGGTCCGCTTCAACGATCTCTGGAGCACTTCCAGTTCACGGAGGTCTCCAAGAATATATTCTGAGGCGCTTCCGACAGAGCGACCAGTGGCCCAGTCTCCAGCACCCCGTCGCGGTTCTACGCCGCATCGAGGTCGACTTGTTGATCATTCCACCAACGATGAAAGTGCAATCTCTCGGAGGCGGCCACCCTCAATAGATCACCCACGGGGCTGACGTGCTCGGCTTGGTCAAATTGATCTACGTGGCGCTCACACACGAGTATCGCCGCGGCGCTTGACTAATTCGATCTGTAACATAGCAGTGGGTTCCCACAGATGCAGCAGTAGACCTTCCTGATAGTTGATCGTGAGAATCGGCGCCTCCATTTTTTTATTTGTTAAACTCAAAGAATTGGCACCGCATTGCCGCACCACATTTTTCTTCACCAAGAACGCGACTATGTTCTCGGCGAACTTGTGTAACTACTTTTACAAGTATGCAACCATACTAATCATTGGCCGCCTTGATCCTTTTAAGATCAGGGCTGACTCAGTTCTTGTCAACCACACACCACCAAAAACGAAGATCTTGCTGGCTGCGAGGATACACTTCTCCAGGTTGACGAACAGCGAGTACTGACGCATTAGCGTAATCACCCCACGGATATTTTTCTGAGGCATATCAAGATCGGTCAAACTGTCTCAAGACTGTGAACGATCAGATTCTTCTTGTTTCTCGGTGTGAATGCCTGAACTGGTCGCAACAGATAGCTCACAATCTTTTAAATGTGACTCAAGAATTGGCTAGCCATTGTGGCATGACTAACCACATCCAGAACATACGGCTGGAGGTACTCGCCTCTGTAAATGGGAATTTTGACATCCCGATACTCGTGTTTAATATCATACGCGGGGATTATTCGTAAGAAAACAGGACTGTGTATGAAAGCGCTCACTCTAAATCAAGTCATCAAGTTCGACTCATCCAGTGTCGAGCTGAAATGGATGAATTTCAGGAAGAAATCCATCAGCCTTAAAACGGTCGCGAATTCGCCATCCGTGGCGAGGAAACATACTCACATGAATTTGCCCTACTGCTGATCGCGTCATAACGTTGATTGATACATCAATGGTAGATAATGGCTTTTTCAGGATCCCTGAGGAGGCGACGAAAATATGAGAGTGGCGGAATCCACAACCTTGTCAGTATTAACCAATTCATTGACTTTATCGGTGTCCTCAAGGATCTCTATATCTGAGCCGTTCGACCGTCTAACGCTTGCTGCCCATCTGCGGTAGCTGCATCGCTGTACTCACTCAGCGACAGCTCCTTGGCATTGTGGTGTGATCCAGCTATCATAAACTAGTAATTATATACACTTGTGGCCTTGTGCGCGCAAGTGTAGAGTTGGACACACACTGCCTCGATGTGTATGAAGCAAAATCCTCGACATCACTAAGTTTTAACGAGTGATGATCGCGGTCGCATGTTGCGTTCGGCTCAGTTGAACGTGAGTCTTGTCTATACACACTCGACGCTTAGTTCGATCATGGGTCTTGATTTTGGACGACATAGGTCTCCCATTAAAGCCGCATACGCTTTGTCTGTGCATGCTTATTCTCAATCCTCGAGTTTCCCCATTTCTTAATCGCTTGAAGGCATTCCAGGAGATTTCCCTCCTCTGCTAGTCTCAAAGCTCCATTGGGACAGGGAGAGAGGTCAGAGCTCGCAAGCACGCACGTACTTGCGAGCGATTCATGTTGGCGTGACCAATAAAAGTAATGGCCTGGCTTGATTTATAAATTCTCACGTACGCGATGACCACCGATCGAAGAGTCGTGATATTCAAACTTAATTGGAAATTCGAGATCATGATCATCGAGAAACACACCTCGATAATATATCACTGCTCGATATTTGAGTAAGCTTTGCGGTGTGCATACTAACGAGTACTTGATCGGTATGATGGTGAGAACATATTTGAGAGATCCCTCAAATGGCTGTGCCAAGGGTACCATGATTTGCACGGAACGATGATCTCGTGCATTCAGAGCGCAATTGTCGACAAGTAGTGATGTCGATAGCATACTTGTAGTTAGCTGAAATGCGTTGACTGTCAACTTTTGTAGGCTCGAATGCATCCACACTCATGAAAATGCCAACACCACACACTTCGCGTGTTCTCACTATATTACTAAGCGTACCATGTGCGTCTGAGATCTTGTTCGCCCATCTCTGACGTAAGAACTAGCTAGAACTTCTGTCACCACGTTTTGAACATATTCAATCAAGAGAAAAAAAAATCTTGATGCCAGCTCTCCTACTCCTACTCCTCGCATCTAGTACTCTGTAAGTCTATCGTCGAGGAATAATCTCACCAGGTCAAAAACCTCTCACAAGTCCTGTTGGACAGAGACACGGATCAAACAGCATATATTTGTTACCTACGGTATCTTTCAGCTGGCTCTACTTTCTAATATAATTCTGACAGCGCCAAAGTAATATCCGCCCATGTAACCATAAGGACATTGAAAAGAGCCGCACCATTATGGAGACTTTTTCATAGAGATGGTGACGTTAGGAGAGAATCGGCCGCCATCGCGGCTGTAACGGGGTTACACGCACCCTGGTACAGGTGTGTGTGTCACACGAGGTGGGTGTTGT